TCTCTCTCTCTCTCTCTCTCTCTCTCTCTCTCTCTCTTTCTCACACACACAGAGAGAGAGAGAGAGAGAGAGAGAGAGAGAGAGAGAGAGAGAGAGAAAAGACAAGCACAGGTGTACATACGCACAGCCTAACCCTAAAAAAAAAAAAGAGAAATTTCTCACATACCAGGTTTTAGGCTGGGGGGGGGGTGCCTTATATATTAAAGCATGTTTTAAAGTTCCCTTTTTTACATTTAAAGCCCAGTATCTGGACTGAAAAGTCCTCGAAGAGCTCAAGGCTATTCACAGAAGCACAGTCTGTGAAGGAAAGTGGTTCCTACCATGGGTCCTGTGCACCCAGCGAGGAGTCAGGTCACTTGTCCTTTCAGTGGCCTCCAGTGACCATCACAGTACAGGGGTCAGCAGCCAGCTGTGTGTTACAGTGACAGGAGAGGCTACATTAGGAGGGCATCTCCCACAGTCCCTTGTGCTCTGACATCACCACCTTTAGAACCCCACTTTTAACCTGACTTCTTATGAAATCAGTCCAGTCCTGACACCAATATAGCAAGTACTTTACAAATTCAAAGCCATTTTCCCTAAAAATGAAAAACCTTCTATACTAGAATCTGTTGGGGGAATTTCCACTACTCAAAATCCTCAATCACACGCACTCTTAGGCCCTGGTGGTTTTTTAATACAATAGCATTAATTTGGTAGCTTTCCAAAATAAACTTCCTGCCTTCTGAATCAATGTGCCCTCCAGAGTTACTGCCTTCCCTTGGGTACAAGTCAGGTTGCTGGTTTGACTTGTTTATGCTCTCACATTATTTCTCCATATAATAATTTTATAAATGTATCATATTATAATGCATTATATAGGATGCCTATTTTTAGGGAAAGTCCTAGTGTAACATGAGGGCCGGCTTGTTGGGGTTTCCGTCCCGCCCGGTACCCCAACAGCCGGCAAATCCCAAAGAGAAATTACACACAGGACTCCATAAGGTTATAAACTGATTGGCTCATTAGGTCAGGCTACTTATTAGCTCTTATAACTTATGTTACCCCATTATTCTTATCTACGTTAGCCACATGGGCTCATTACCTTTCTCAGTGTGACAGCTTACATGTTGCCTCTTCGGTGGTCTGCCCAGGAGTGGCTTGAGGAACCTTTCTCCTCCCTAACCTTATCCTATTCTCATTACTCCGCCTCTACTTCCTGTCTGGTTGACCCGCCTATACTTCCTGCCTGGCCAATCAGCGTTTTATTAAAATACATGATTGACAGAATACAGATAATTCTCCCGCACCATCCTAGAGCCTACAGTTTTGGCTTGTGTATTCACAACTGAAATCAGTCCAGTCCTGACACAAATATAGCAAGTACTTTACAAATTCAAAGCCATTTTCCCTAAAAATGAAAAGTCTTCTATACTAGAATACTAGTAATACTTAGAAAATTTCCTCTAAAGATGAGATTTAATAAACAACAACAAAGTATACAGGACCCAATCCCAGTGTCAGGATTAACTTTCATACTTTCGTATAGTAATCAGGCTTTTAAAAATCTTGATAGTAAGTATTTGTAAGTTCATAATAATAATGGGCCTTACATAGAGAAGAAATAATAAATTTCAAAATGATTTTTAGATTACCACTACAATCAGTGCCTGACTCAGTGCCAGTACTAACAATGCCGAAGAAGACACTCAACCAGACAGTCACTCTGTCCTGAAGCTGTAACTTCAAACACTACTTCTGGCCAGCTGCTCCAGAAAACACACCACTGAATAGGTAAGGATGTGATGATATAAATCCATCACTACTGAAAAAATCTGAAAGATACTTCGTACCAATATATCACTTTCAAGCTAAAACTACAGATGAGATTTTGTAACAAAATATGCTTTCGGCATCCCAGAAAGTCTTTACCACCTAAAACTATAATTAAAATTCACAGAAACAGTAGCCTAGGATTCACTATTTTCAAATGATGATAGTTTTAAGAAAGATATGCAATTTAAAAATGCAATTAAGTTGAAGGGTAGGATAATGCACACCTGTAATCACAACACTCAGGAGACTAAGGCAGAAAATTTTTTAGTTCAAGGCCAGACTGGGCTACACAGTGAGCCTTCCTCAAAAAAAAAAATCAGTTATGCATGTGTAAATTCTCTTGTTTTATTAATGAAAGTTAGGCATAAATATGGGGCACAGAGTATGCATGCTAAATTATTTATCAACTAGAAAACAACTGATATATCAAAATAACCAGAGACAAGCAAGTATTACCCAGAATAACTACAGCTGAAGAATATGTGGTGAGGAAAAAAGACACATTAAAGTGACTGGCATGGAAAATTAGAGAATAGGGAGTCAAAGTGATCAATACTGAAAGATGACAAACAAGGGGAGGACACAAGAAAAGGACCTTGCTTAGAAGTGAGAACATGCTGTCAATAAAGACCACACCGGTGCTATGTGCTTCGCAGACAAGAAAGCTGAGGATGAACCTGAGGTCAAACAGTTCAGGTCAGTCACAACAGGACAGAGTCCCTTTTAATCCTCCGAATGAGGACAACAAACAAGACCAGTGGTGAACATACATCAACGTTCCTCTGTTTCAGAGCACCTACTAGAAAGACCCCATCTGACGACACACTGTAAAAAGCAGACATCAAAGAAACCTACTCAGACAGTGCAATCTACAGTAAACAGCCTGGAAGACAGAAACTAAATGTAGGTGGTAAAATAGGACAATACATTGCCGAAGGACAGGTCTGTCCCAGCCTTCATAACTGGCCTATGCAAGGACGTATTTATATTTATATTTCATTGAGTCCTACTTACACCAAGAATCAGAGTGAGACCAACAAAAGTATAATTATAGAAACAGTTGGATGACCAGTATGATAAAATAAAGTTTGTCTCAACACCCTGGCGGGGAGGGGCTACATGTGTGCAGAGTAGGCAAGAACTGCCTAAAGAGGGCAATACAAAGCAAGATTCACCACAAACACTGCTTACTACAGCTCATTAGAAACTATCTGAATAAAGAAAAATAAATGGTCTTTTACAGCCAAAAAGATCAATCAGATCTATGCTGACCAAGAAGGAAAGTTAAACCAGCACAATTCTAAAAGGACCCATCACACTCTATCAAGACAACACACTTTTAGTAGGAACTACAGACTTTCCAAAGTCTTTCAACCAACTTCAACAGAGTATGTCCTTTTTTAAGAAACAATGGATCTCTTTAATCCCAGCACTGGGGAGGCAAAGACAGACACATCTCTGTAAGTTCGAGGCCAGTCTGGTCTACAGAGTGAGTTCCAGGACAGGCTCCAAAGCTACAGAGAAACCAAAACAAAGGGATCCTGAAACGAGCTATAGTGTTCATTTTCCTTGTATATTCTTCCCAGAAAGGACAAAAATACACTATCAATTAACTATTTAACTGTTCAGACATAATATTTCACCCAAATTCATCTCATCATAGAAGCATTTGAGACCATCAGAGGTGAGTGGTTTATCAACTTCGGTTATAAATTTGAAGTTTTTTGCTTAGCTGAGGAGACAGTTTCTATTTTCCATGAAATTGAAAGTAATAATTTTTGCATAATTTTCCTTGTAGCTAAACTCAATAGAAATTTAAGTCAGTGTTGACGAGATGGCTCAGCAGTGAGAGCACTTGCTGCTCTTGCAGTTCCCAGCACCTAGCATCTGCCTAGCCCTCCAGTTTGAGGGAATCTGATATCCCCTTCTGAACTTCTGGTCTCCTAAATTTATCAATCTACTGGGTGAAAGAAACTGTGTGATACATGAAGCACTATAAAAGATTATTTTGTAGCATGTATGAAGACGAATTCATAAGAAAATTTATTTGTGCTCTGAATAAAAACAAAAAACAAAGTACAATGTTAGAGTGACGAGACAAAAAGCTGAGCTAGCACAGGCAGACATCCAGACTTTACCTGTAGTCCTTCGTAGACTAACAAAACTTGAGATAAAATACACTAGTAGAAATAGCATAGTCTGCCCTGCCTGTACATTAGAATCACCTGTGACTGTTTGTCTCCATTAAGCTAAAACGCAGCTAAAAAGCTCCTATAATGAAACTATTCTCTAAAGTTAAAGAGTGTCTCAAACAAACACCACATAAAATGCACAGTACGTTGGTAATATCACTGATGTTTAAGCTAAGACACTGGCTCTGTGTGGCTGTGTGTCCCAAGCATACTTGTCTCAGAGTGTCCCCAAAGGCCACTTGTCTAGTGACGTGCTGACCCCCAAACTCAGTGACAATGAAGGCAGAAGAGTGAAAATACCAAGCCCTTGACAACAGACCTCCTGTTAAAGTAAAAACGCTGTGTCCTCAAACACAACTGAAGCAACCTCGACGAGCGGAAAGTGAGTAGGGATAAGAAGGGCAGAGGCCACAGAGAAACTGCATTTTCCCCCTCGCACCGAGGGCCCTGCGGAGGAGCCACGGCTCGGCCGGGCTCTCCATCCCCGCACCGGCTGTCCGCGGCTTCCACCTTTTCAGGGCCCCGGCCTCTCCGTCCCCGCACAGCTCTGCCCTTTCCATCTCTCCCGCGGCCCCTGCCCCTCTGCCAGCCTCCGCTGGCCTCTCCTCTCCTCCCGTCCGCCCGCCCCGGCCTCCGTCCCCACCTGGACAGTGAGTCCTCGCTAGGTGGCCGTGCCGCCGGGGGCTGAGCGCCGAGACTCTCGCAGCTAGAGCTCTTCTCCATGGCGCGAGAACAGGAGGCCGCTGCACCTTCTGCGGCCGCGGGTGAGAGATGCACAGGGAGGAGCGCACAGGACCTCGGCCGTGGTCAGCCTAGCGCCAGCCACAGTGCGAGACCGGAAGCGGCCATGTTCCCCCAGCCTGCACCGCGCGCGGGGGCTCTTGGGAGCCGGGACCCCTGGCCCTGCAGAACTGGGCCCTGCGCATGCGCTCTGACCGCCCAGCGCCTGGCCTGCATGAGGAGGAGTTGGCCAGCGGGGTGGAGACTTTGAGCTGAGAGGAAAATTTCCAGAAGGAAGGGAACACCCTTTTATCATAGAGAAGACGGAAGGATGCGAGGCCTTGGAAGCGGTGGAGTCGAGGAAAATAGAGGAACGTGGGCAGTCTGTGGGATGAGGGAGTGAGGGGAAAGGAGGAAGAGACCTGAGGAGATCCAGGGCTAGAGTATTGAAGAATGAGGTTAGAGGTAGCGAAAGGTACAGCTTACTTGAGAATCTATTGTGAAGCAAAGCAGACTCAGATTCCACTGCCACCTGTTGCATTTCCACCAGCTTCCTTCTATGTGAGTTATAGACGTAAACCGCCTAGAACAATGCTTGCCTAAAGACGGAGCACGCATATAAACATTCTAACAGATTTAATAATCGGTAACTGTTATGAGCAAAAGCTAAAGTAAAGGATCACAGACCAATAACAAATGGTTGGGAGGAGAAAGGTACCACCAGTTGCTCCCCACCCCAACCCCAAGTGGGGAAGCGGAGGGAAAACGCCGAAAATTACATTTCTTTCCATCTCTGACCATCATTATACAGAGGAGAATGGGGATGGAGTTGAAGTTTTCCGGCCCCTTGTGACAAGAGTGTGGGTCAGTGTGACTTAGGAGTGGGTCTGTAACTGACAGGCACGTGGACAGCAACTGTAAATCCTAGGAAGAGGACTGGAGAGAGAATGGGGGAGACTGGGAAATTCTCAAAAAGAACTAGATGCAAACACTGCTGGATGCAGTGTTTGAAACAGAGGACAGACTTACCTCTCCAGATCCCAACTCCTTCAGATTCCCCTGCAAAACAGGAAGCGAGTGTGGAGATGGAGTTTGATAAGGGAGCAGGAACTGGGTAAAGGAGACTGTGGATGCCAGTGACTTTCTGTTACTCAGGATACAAGATGGGTAATATTAGAGGAAGCTTTCTAACTGTGACTCCGCTTTAGTCCCTCACACATATGGAGAGTAAAATTAATGCAAAAATTATTTCTATAAATTAGAGACTCTTTTAAAAATTACTTGCTAGGGTAAATATAATTGTGCTTATGCAAATTAGATTTAATTTAATGCAATTACTTGATTTTTTTTAAAGAAAATTTTAATTTTTAGAACCAAGGAAATAATTTGTGGGCTAGCTTTCCATTACTGTGACAGTGTTCCTAATGAAAGACTTATTTTGACTGATGATTTCAAAGATTCCAGTCCATGGTCACTAGGCTCCATTTTTTTGAGCCTGCAATACAAGAGAACATCCTAGCTGGGAACACGTGGTAGAAGAATCTGCTCATCTCCAGGTGCCCAGAAAGGAGGAACAGAGGGAGAGAAAAGGGGAGGATTCTAGTCCCCATTTAAAGGAGACTCTAACTACTCCCCTCCTAAAGTTCACACTGCCCCCCAGTGACACTATCAGATGACAGCCTAACCTTTAGAGACATAGCCTGTAGAAGATATCTCATATCCAAAACCTCAACAATTTGAAAGATCACAAGCTCAACCTATCTGAATTGTGTTCTACATAAACTAGAAAAGTTATCAATGAATAAATAAATATGTTAATTTATTGGTTATGTTAATCCCACAGATTGGAGGAGAAAGATCACTGACCCAGGGGCTGGAGAGCTGGCTCAGCGGTTAAGAGCATTGACTGTTCTTCCAGAGGATCTGGGTTCAATTCCCAGCACCCACATAACAGCTAACAACTGTAACTCCAGTTTCTGGGGATCTGATACCTTCACACCAATCCACATAAAGTTAAATAAATTATTTAAAAAAGAAAAAAAAGATTTAAAAAAAATCACTGACCCAAGTCGTCATGGCTAAATTAATTAAAGCAACCCTTTTATTTGTGTACATGGGCTGTCTCCGCTAAAGATGGGATTTAAAAAAAGAGCCATGGAAGTGGGGAAGATAAGGTTTTATGGTTCAGGGGTAGAGGGTTTCCAAGTGGGGAATTTTGCAGGTAAATAGGTGGTTACAAAAGCAGAACTTAAGCATAGCAAGTTAATCATAAGAACCTGAAACAAAGGCATGATTGCAAGGTAATCTTAACCTTTTTGAAACAGAAGCATGGTTCTGTTTTCTGGAGCAGAAAGTACAGAGCCAGTTGTTAAGGTTACAGGTGGAGCGTAGCCCAATCCTTGGGAAACAGATTTAATCATAAACAGAATGAATCTAGTTTGACTTTATATAAGATGGCTTTCAAACCCAAGATGGAGGCAGGCTAGTTCATCAGTTAGCCTCAGAAGAGATAGCCTTTCTCTTCCATTTTCCGTGCAAGGACAGATGGCAAGCAATTGTTTTTATCTCTAATTTTTCAAGAGATCTTAATTGTACCTTTCTGATAGGCCAGCTGGATAAGTAGTCAAATAAACACTTTGACAAGCATAAATATCTGTAAGATTCATGAGAGAATGCATCTACTTCTCTGTCCCAAGCAGTGTTTCTAAATGCTGACTCACGATCACTTGGCACTTCAATTTGTGTCTTCCAAGTTACACATGTTGGAGAAAGATGAACCCTTGAAAGGAAGATCCACTTCATTTTAGCATTGTGTTGAATGCTAGAAAAAAAAATGTCTTCCTGGGTAATAACTTGTGCATGGCCCTCTCTAGCGATTATTATGGGGCAGTGTTAAATGGATCGAGATTACAACCAGAAAAGCCTGCATTGCAATCCTATGCAGTCGCTGAAACCTGCCCTGAATGCTTGTTTCTCATCTCTGCGCAGGAAGCACTTAGTAAATAGATTGTGTTGCTGTAATTGTTTCTTTCCCACTGCGCTTCAGCTTTACTTCTAACCTGAGTGAAGAGTAACAAGCAAAGAATACTTTAATTTCAGATGGAAGGTAAATTGCTGCATTCCTTGTCTTATACATTGGTTGCTCTGTCACATAACTAAGAAAAATGAACCTAAGCCTTCCTGTACCTCAGCTGTCTCATTTTTTATAAGAATAACAGCATCTGGGCTGGGAAGACAGATCAGTGAAGTGTTTGCTGTTTGACCGTGAGGACCTGAGCTCCACCCCTGAGAAACCTATATAGTGAGAAAGAGAGAGAGAGAGAGAGAGAGAGAGAGAGAGAGAGAGAGAGAGAGAGAGAACGCTGAGCTCCACTCCCGAGAACCTACATAGAGAGAAAGCTGAACTCAGTGGTCTGCTAGTAATCTCACTGCCCAGAAGACAGGGATGGGTATATTCCTAGTTCTCTCTGGCCAGCCAGGCTATCCAAATTGAGGAGTTCAGATAAAAGTGAGTCTTTCCCACAAAGCAAGAAGGATGGTATGCTGGTCAGTTTCTGTCAACTTAATACAAACTAGAGTCACCTGGGAAGAAAGAGCCTCAAGAAATTATTCCCATCAGATTGGCCTGTGGACACGTCTGTGCAGCATTTTATTAATTAATGATGGTTATGAGAAGGCCCAGCCCACTATGGGCAGAAAGTTCTCGACTATATGAGAAAGCAAGCGAGTAGACAACTTTCCTTTACAGTTCTGGACTTCCCTCAAGGATGGGCTCGGATGGTGTGTAAGCCAAATAAACTCTTTCCTCCACACATTGCTTTTGGCCATAGTGTTTATCACAGCAGCAGAGAGGCAAACTAGGAGAGGTACCTGAATTCTAAATTCCTCGATGCAGAGTGCATTTAGACTACCTAGCCTCTCTGGCTCTTCTATACATGTGGGGATACAGTTAACATCCCTTCTTTTTAAAAATACCCATCCTATTTTTCTTCCTTTCTCTCTCCTTTTCCTTTCTCTTTTCTATGTTGAGACAAAGTCCAACTTTGTAGCACGAGCTGGCTAGGAGCTTGCTGTGTAGGCCAGGTTAGTTGCAAGCTCACGGCAGTCTTCCTGACTTTGACCTCCCAAGTGTCGGGATTGCAAACACTCATGAGTCATCACACCAAACTACTTCAAACCGCTTTTAATTAACACATACTAATAGTATAAATTAGTGGGTTTTTTGGTGACTTTTCCATCTCTTCCCATCTACTCAAATCATGTGCGTATAAACACAAGCACACACACATTCAAATGTGAGCATGAAGTAAGACGCATATAAACCATTGAGTGTCTGGCAAGAAGCATACATAACTCTAACAGTTTGCTAAAACTGTTGTTGCATTAAGAGAGACATAACGGTGTGGGTCAGACTGAAAAGAGACAGCGATTGAGCATTGCAACCGGTTTGGAACTAACTAAAGATCCCCATGGTTATTTTTTAAGAGAACCCAGGAATATGTTAAACAATATTCACAGACAGAACCACTTAACACACACACACACACACACACACACACACACACACACACACATATATATAAATTTTTTAAAAATCAGACACCATTATGACATATTTCAATAAAGTATGTTTTCATAGTTCTCATTTCCCTGCCTCCCCGGCCCCTTGCTAACCCTACCCCTACCTTACAACCTACCCCCATACTCTTTTCCTCTTTTATGATGAACATATTTTAGAGATAAACTATTTCTGAATTTAAATCCATTCATTTCGTCTTCCCAGGTAATGTGATCTCTATGACTGTAATTTAATTGAGTAGTAGTCATTTTTCCATTGAGAAAATGATTTGTCTCAGTTTGATACCAGTTCCTAAACTCCACAGCTTTGCACAGGCTGCTGTCTTCCTTTGATTCATTAAAATGACTTTCACATTCACCACCTTCTTGTGACTTCTTGATATATTGCTCCAAGCATGGGGAAGTAGAAAAAGATTGCTAGCATATTGGGAAGAATGAATTTGTCCTGGAAGAGATTACATCTTGATATATTGTTATTGAATCTCTTGGAGGGTGTTGTATGAATTGCCAAGCTTTGGTTCTTGTCCCCAGTGTCTAACATTTGCTGTCTAATGTGCATCCCATTTATGTGGTCTGAGTTGCTTTGAATGTCTGCTCCAACCCACGACAATGAATAAGAATACACC